TTGAAGAGAAAGTCAGATATGTTACAAAAATGAAGTCTTTTTTTTATTATTATTGATTATTATGATAGAATTACGCTGAATTTATGAGGTTATGTATTTATACTGTTTCATGTACTCGCTGGGGACCGTATACATATTCAAGAGAAATGTATAAACTCAATTGTTTTAATCAAACTAAAGCTTTTAGTCTGTATTTACAAATATCTTAAAGACAAAAATCTTTCTTACATTCTATTTTCATTTGTCTCAGGACTCTGTTACTCAAAATACACTTGAGTATGGATATGAAACCTACATGAAAGCTAAAAAAAAAAATTACATTTGAAACAATTTTAACAGTAATATTGAGCTTTACACATATTATAGTTAACATCTTAACGCATCTGTATCAGTAAGAAAATTGTGTGTGAGAGAGAGAGATAAATTATTATAATCCGAGTTATTTTGTTGTATTATTTTCTCATTTATCAGCTCTTTTCTGAATTTCCACAGAAATGGCCTGCTCTATTTATACAAGTATGCTATGGAACTCCACCCGATACGATCACATGTGGTCCATAGCTGGCCCCGGGCGATCGAGTTCAAACATGACTCATGTCTCAACCATGGAGATCGTGGGCTAATTATGGTGTGACACGATATATTACAAAACCCCATCCGCTGATCATTAAAGGACCATATCCTACTTCATGATGGAGGGCACAGGTTAAGTATGTCACTCCCGGATATATGCTAGAGCCAGATGGCTTTGAAGATCCGCTGAACATTAAAGGATAATATCCTAATTCATGTTAGAGGTCACAGGTTAAGTATGTCACTCCCGGATATATGCTAGAGCCAGATGGCTTTGAAGATCCGCTGAACATTAAAGGATAATATCCTAATTCATGTTAGAGGTCACAGGTTAAGTATGTCACTCCCCGGATAGGTGCTACAAACAGATGTCATTAAACATCTGCTGAACATTAAAGGACAATAACCTACTTCATTGCTGAGGTCACAGGTCAATCACGGTCATTAAAAAGGTCATAAGGTTAACCCCTAAGGGGGCGGGTCAAATGTCAAAGTCATCAATCAAAAAAGATGACATTCCGTGAATCATAAATACTACTTCCCTGTTTGCTTCTCTTTTTTCTCTTTTCTTACTGATGCTCTTAGTTTTATAGTTTTTTTATCAGAGTTTCCATTTCCTCACACAATGCTACATCAAATGTCCCTTCCTTTGGCCATTTTGTCATCATACTTTTTGTTCTCTTCTGCCATTTGTTTGAGATCTTGTTTATTAACTCTTTACACAGTGAATATTTTAATCCTAATATTTCCACCGGAGTGGCTGCCATACTTTTTCCTATAATATTATAATCCAATTTTAATTTAAATATTTTAACCAATTTCTCCTAATTTTAGTCTTTATTTTGTAACATGCATCTTTGATATATAAATGGTATATTTATGGCAACTTTAATATATAAATCAGACTCCACAAATCAATGTATGTACATAGTATAACTTTCTTTATAAAAAAAAATAAATAAATAAAAAATAAAAACACAAGATCACCAATATAATACTTCCAGATCTGAATTCTTATTACAAAAAAAAGGTGCAAGATCTAATTCCCCATTTAAGCCTGGAAGTTTAGTTGCTTTTTGTGTGTTTTCTTTTCTTTTTTTTTATAAAGAAAGTTATACTATGTACATACATTGATTTGTGAGTCTGATTTATATATTTAAGTTAGTTGTTTTTGTTTTTTTCCTCTCCTTTATACATGATTATATTGTGTTTGATTTAATTTGATATGTAATCGTCGAACTTCCTCTCTATTGTTTGTCCTGTGTAGAACGACCAGGTGATTGTTATTTGACTAATTAATTGCTGCTTAAAATGAACTCAGATTGTGTTTGTTACTCACACCCTGACGAAGGCAAAATAGCCTCAACACGTACAGTGGGGCAAAAAAGTATTTAGTCAGCCACCAATTGTGCAAGTTCTCCCACTTAAAAAGATGAGAGAGGCCTGTAATTTTCATCATAGGTATACCTCAACTATGAGAGACAAAATGAGAAAAGAAAATCCAGAAAATCACATTGTAGGATTTTTAAAGAATTAATTGGTAAATTCCTCGGTAAAATAAGTATTTGGTCACCTACAAACAAGCAAGATTTCTGGCTCTCACAGACCTGTAACAACTTCTTTAAGAGGCTCCTCTGTCCTCCACTCCTTACCTGTATTAATGGCATCTGTTTGAACTCATTATCAGTATAAAAGACACCTGTCCAAAACCTCAAACAGTCACACTCCAAACTCCACCATGGCCAAGACCAAAATTGTAGACCTCCACCAGGCTGGGAAGACTGAATCTGCAATAGGTAAGCAGCTTAGTGTGAAGAAATCAACTGTGGGAGCAATTATTAGAAAAAGGAAGACATACAAGACCACTGATAATCTCCCTCGATCTGGGGCTCCACACAAGATCTCACCCCGTGGGGTCAAAATGATCACAAGAACTGTGAGCAAAAATCCCAGAACCACACGGAGGGACCTAGTGAATGACCTGCTACTTATTTTCCACCATAATTTGCAAATAAATTCTTTAAAAATCCTACAATGTGATTTTCTGGATTTTTTCCCCTCATTTTGTCTCTCATAGTTGAGGTATACCTATGATGAAAATTACAGGCCTCTCTCATCTTTTTAAGTGGGAGAACTTGCACAACTGGTGGCTGACTAAATACTTTTTTCCCCCACTGTAGGTGTGCCCTTGTCACCTGTTCTTAAAACTTATAGCCATGATGAAATAAAGGCTTTTTAATCATTTTTTTAATAAGATTCGAGTGCCTTGGAATACTATTATTCATATGAGTTGAATCATCCCTTGCACCCAAAGAGACTAGAAACCCAATACCCCGTGCAGCACTTCTTTTGCATTCTTTATTTCGAGGAAACTTTCTGCATTTTTACTTTCTCAAAGAAACTCATTTTGTTGTATGATTTGTAAGCTTTTGAACCCATGGGGACCTCAATTTAGGTCCCCACCATGTCACAAGTCCCCATGTGTGTATTCTGTGTGTGTGTGTGTGAGCATGTGTGTGAGTCTGTGTGTATTCAGGTTTAAGTCCCCACCAGGATATATAAATCTGTACACACACACAGACATTATCCATTCACATACATATGTTTCTACTTGTAGTATATGTATATGGGTGGATGACATGACATGCAGTTCTACCTGTCCATGATGTCATATACTAATAAAAATGGGTATTTGTTAAAAATGTATTTCTTTATGTTGTTCCTCTGACACGATACTATTACAGCATACCATAGCTTTACGGGTGTATAAAGACCTCTACTTCAAATTTTTATCTAAACATCAAAATTGTCATATGGTGTGACTGTCCGGACTATGTGTGACTTTACTAATATGACAATATAGTAAAGTATAAATAATTGATAGATTTACAGTTTAAGTAACAGAAGTAGGCATTTTTAATGGACACAGAAAGTGTTGATGTCTGTGCATGATTTTAAAGCAAGTTCTGGCAAAATACATTTTGTCCATAAAATGGGTGTCATATGGTGTGACATTACAATCTGTATTTTGAACGGGCAATAATTTGAACATCATTAAGATGAAGAAGTCCACACTCAACCAGGAAGCTGCAGTGTCCTCTCTGGAGTGGTTTGGAAGGTGAAGAGGTGAGCTCTGACTTTTTAATTTTTAATTAAAAAGCTTTGTCACTAATGTGCTCATTAGTGGTCAATGTTTTGTGTCTTATGGTGTGACATTATTTACATAAAAATTAAACACTTTTTTATAAATTTTACTTATAAATTCTTAAAAATCATTGCTGCCATGTGGCAATTTACATGCTAAGTATAAGCTAGCTGTTTTTAGTTAACAAAGAGATTGGCTAAACTGAACAAAACGTCATATGGTGTGACACTGTATCATATGGTGTGACTGTTTTTCCAAGTCACACCATATGATACTTTTGTCACACAATATTACATACACCTTTTTTAATGATAAATAAATAAATAAATATTAAAACATTGAAATAATTTAATGATGTACATTAAATTGCCCATACTATTAACATATTCCTTTTCAATTTTATACTTGATTTAACCATGTTTGCCATGCTTTACATATTAAAAGATGCAATTTTTGTCTGTGTCAGGCAGAAATGTCAATTAAAGAGAGGACACGAAAATACAGGGAAAGACTCAATGCTGAATATGCAAGGAGAGAGGAGGTCCTGAGGGAAAGGAGGAAAAAGTAAGGAGATCATGTCAGTTCACACAGAACAGACACCTTCTATAGGGAAGGATGAAAGTCTAGGCCACAACCTGCATAGTGTAACTTCAACACAGGATACTATTATCAAGATTGTGAGGCTGAAATGAACGGTTAAAAAAAATCATAATCATTATATATTTTTCATTAACAGGTATAAAGAGAAGAAACGAAGAGGACAACTCAAGGCATTCAGTGTGCACACCCTTCTTCCTTCAAGACAAGAGAAAATGAAAGAGATGTGGAGAGAAGCACAAAAGAAATACAGAAAAAGAAAAAAAGAAGTGAATGCCATTATGAACCTGACCCCTCCATTAAGCATCATTGAATGAAGATACTATAAATGTCTATGAATTTTCAATCTAAAACATTCGACTAATTGTAAGCTGAAAATATTTTTACTGTTTAACAATTATAATTGTTACAACACACTCTCTAATCTTAAAATGTTCATGTTGAAGGTTCTTGGTGTGAGATGGTGTTTACTCATATTTCTGAGTTTCATAAATACATTTTTAAAAGTTTTAAAACAATGTTGGTATGTTTGATGATTTTTAGTTTTATTACTGTTAATTTAATTCATTGAATGTTTAATGCATATAAAATACACTTTTTTTTGCATTGACAAATTGTGGTGTGGTGCATTTCATCATATAGTGTGACACTATATAATTTGGTGTGACAATCAGAATTGTGGCAATAAAATACTTTTTTTTTTGTTATAAACCATAAAGTCAATGGAACAAAAATTAAATAGTATCAGCAAGATTCACAAGCATTTTGTTAGATTTATAACAGGGTTAGTCAGAATTATTCTAAAATGTCTGGAAAGGCTGATGAGAGATGTCTTACTCTGAAAAAGAATACAAAATCTAATGGATCTGTACAAAATAATTTTAAATCTTAAGATAGTAATGTAAATAAATAAATAAATATTAAAACATTGAAATAATTTAATGATGTACATTAAATTGCCCATACTATTAACATATTCCTTTTCAATTTTATACTTGATTTAACCATGTTTGCCATGCTTTACATATTAAAAGATGCAATTTTTTGTCTGTGTCAGGCAGAAATGTCAATTAAAGAGAGGACACGAAAATACAGGGAAAGACTCAATGCTGAATATGCAAGGAGAGAGGAGGTCCTGAGGGAAAGGAGGAAAAAGTAAGGAGATCATGTCAGTTCACACAGAACAGACACCTTCTATAGGGAAGGATGAAAGTCTAGGCCACAACCTGCATAGTGTAACTTCAACACAGGATACTATTATCAAGATTGTGAGGCTGAAATGAACGGTTAAAAAAAATCATAATCATTATATATTTTTCATTAACAGGTATAAAGAGAAGAAACGAAGAGGACAACTCAAGGCATTCAGTGTGCATGCCCTTCTTCCTTCAAGACAAGAGAAAATGAGAGAGATGTGGAGAGAAGCACAAAAGAAATACAGAAAAAGAAAAAAAGAAGTGAATGCCATTATGAACCTGACCCCTCCATTAAGCATCATTGAATGAAGATACTATAAATGTCTATCAATTTTCAATCTAAAACATTCAACTAATTGTAAGCTGATAACATTTTTACTGTTTAACAATTATAATTGTTGTTACAACTAGACATCGACCGATATATCGATTTACCGATATTTCCCCCGATATTTAAGCATTTTACAATAATCGGATATCGGTTTTGTAATATCGGATTCACCGATAAACACCACCATCTTGTGGATGTTTTGAGAATTGCGTGCAGGATCAACATTGCAGCGCGTCTTAGAGGAAACAAGACAACAACAACGGCGTGCACAGGTACTTTATTTACTGTAGTTAGTAAACTTTATTTAACATAACAGCCATTAATGCACAAATTAGATGCATTACATAAATGCCTGACATGCAGTTTATGCAGCTTGGCTCGAAGAAATAGAGACTCACGGATTCACATAAAATAATCCGTCAAGTCCTGTCCCAATAAAGACTTAACTTTGCGTGAATTAAATAATATGCAGCCATGAATGAGCACATGTTGAAAATAAAAGTGCTGAATTTAATTCGCTCTCTGTTGTCTATATGCTCATCGTCAAGCATTTTACAATAATCGGATATCGGTTTTGTAATATCGGATTCACCGATAAACACGGTTTTGAGAATTGCGTGCAGGATCAACATTGCAGCGCGTCTTAGAGGAAACAAGACAACAACAATGGCGTGCACAGGTACTTTATTTACTGTAGTTAGTAAACTTTATTTAACATAACAGCCATTAATGCACAAATTAGATGCATTACATAAATGCCTGACATGCAGTTTATGCAGCTTGGCTCGAAGAAATAGAGACTCACGGATTCACATAAAATAATCCGTCAAGTCCTGTCCCAATAAAGACTTAACTTTGCGTGAATTAAATAATATGCAGCCATGAATGAGCACATGTTGAAAATAAAAGTGCTGAATTTAATTCGCTCTCTGTTGTCTATATGCTCATCGTCTCATGACGGCGGAGTCACGTAGGCTAAAATAATCTGTCAAGTCCTCTCCCAATAAAGACGTAACTCTGCAATAAATTTAAATAATACAGCCATGATTGAGCACATGTTGGACATAAAAACGCTAAATTTAATTCTCTGTCTGTTGTCTATGCTCATCATTAGTCTCGTGAAGCCGCTTTCATATTGCTGTTCACTCACCGGGTTGATGCTCAGGGAATGCTCCAGCACGGCCACCGTATGTAACTTTTAACAAGATTCACTTGTTTAATACACACTAAATTGCATTAACATTTACTATATAACCATTATTTTGTGAATAAATATCTAAATAGATACAACTCTATGGAAATTAATTATTTATTATCTCCACGAGCGATTGCAGTTTGAGTATAGTTCTGTGTAAATACTGTGTAAATTATTCTTGACTCTGTAGCTATTAAACAGCTTATAAACCTACTAAAACTGTAGTTTAAAATAAAGTTGATATGACTCCTTTCCTTTATTTATTTTCTCCATTTGAAAACATTAGACATTCTACATTTATTTTGGTTATTGTTAATATTAGTGTTGCTGCTGATGCTTTAAATAAAATGTTTTTTTATTGTTGTAATATGAAGATTAAATTTAACATGAAAGACTACTAATTTTCAACACTTTTTTTAAGATGACTGAAAGAGGAAAAACCAAAGTGAAGCATGGACTTACTTCACTCAGTCATTTATTTACTTTATAACAGTAAATAAATATCGGTTCTGCATATTGGTTATCGGGCACATAAACATGCAAATAATTGGTATTGGTATCGGTTATAAAATATCAATATCGGTCGATCACTAGTTACAACACACTCTCTAATCTTAAAATGTTCATGTTGAAGGTTCTTGGCATGAAATTGTGTTTGATTTACTCATATTTCTGAGTTTCATAAACACATTTTTAAAAGTTTTAAAACAATGTTGGTATGTTTGATGATTTTTAGTTTTATCAATGTCAATTGAATTGAATTCATTGAATGTTTAATGCATATAAAATACACTTTTTTGCATTGACAAATTGTGGTGTGGTGCATTTCATCGTATTGTGTGACACTATATCATTTGGTGTGACAATAAGAATTGTGGTAATAAAAATACAGAAAGGAAGTGAGTGCGTCGCCTGTCTGGGCAGCCCCCACACAGAGACTGCACGCTCACTGAGATGGAATGCTCTTACCGAGCCTCGGAGAGAGAAACAGCGGAGTCAGGGAACTAAGCAACTGGGTCTGAACGATCTCACGCCAGCACTGAACCCTTGTGCTCGCTCTCCCCGCTGCACTTTGATCCACCGCAGAAGGGCAATTAGCTGCGCGCTTATTGAGACAGAATGCTCACTGAGAGCATGAGTCTCGCTCTTCTCAGCTCGCGGACTGCTTTCAATGAGTCAGCTCCACTCTCCCGTTTCTCCTCTCTCAGAGAGCCTCGGAGAGAGAAACAGTGGAGTGTTGGGAGCTAAGCAACCGGGTCTGAGCGATTTCATGCCGACACAGAGCCTGCGTACTCGCTCTCCCCGCTATGCTTCGATCCTTGTCTTACACGTGCGGATCAGCGCCCCTCGTTACATCGAGCGGCTCTATCCTCCTAGGCAGATCGGAGCAGAATGCTGTCCCTGGCAGCTTCGTATTTGTGTGTGTCGCTAAGGCTGCGCTCACAGAGACTGGCTGCTTTTACCACAAAAGCAGTCTGCCCCTGTTTGCTCGAGGAAGGCGGCCCCATCTCCCCGCTCTCATGTTTCTCTCCTTCCAGTTACCTCGAAGGAAGCAATGGCGAGCTCGTGGGTTGAGTGATCGGGCTTGAGCAATTTTATGCCGGCACATATCATGTGTGCTTCATTTGATCTGCCAGTGTGTCTTAGACGTGAGGATCAGCGCCCCTCGTTACACAGAGTGGCTTAATCCTCCTAGGCAGATCGGAGCAGAACGCTGTCACTTCTATTGCTGTCAGCTTCCCATTTGTGTGTGTGTCGCTGAGCCTCGCCTCCCCGCTCTTTTGTTTCTCTCCTCCCAGTTACTCGGAGGAAGAAATGGCGAACTCTCGGGGACGTGCACTGGCCATTCAGCAGCTCGCGGCCTCATTCAAAGTTGGGACCCCTCGCTCTCTCAAGGCGTTTCAGAAGATGCTGGGCCTCATGGCCTCTGCGTCTCCGGTACTTCAGCTGAGCCTGCTTTGCATGTGGCCCCTTCAGTACTGGCTGAAACCACGAGTTCCGTCCCATGCCTGGCGTCTCGGATGCCTGCATGTCAAGTGGACCGAGCCTGCGTAGCAGCTCTGGCCCCTTGAAAAGACTCTCACTGGATGGAACAGGTAGTGCCCCTGGGAATGGTCTGCCAAAGGAAGGTGGTCTGGACAGACGCTTCCAACATGGGTTGGGGAACGCTGTGCGATGGCAAACTGGCTTTCGGCCATTGGTTGAAAGAAGAGGGCCGGCTTCACATCAACTGCCTGGAAATGCTGGCAGTATGTTTTGGCCTTTGCTCCTTTCTGCCAGATCTAAGGGGACACCACATGCTAGTCTGCTCAGACAGTATGACAGTGGTGTCATATATAAATCGCCTGGGCGGTCTCTCCTCGAAGCGCCTCTTCATTCTGATAGAGTGCCTCTTGGGATGGGCTCAGCTCAACTTGCGTTCGCTGAGAGCAGCGCATGTACTGGGCAGGTTGAACCTAGGATCAGACATGCTATCTCGGAGCAACCTCCTCTCTACACTTTTCCCCCGATCGCCCTGATCCCACAGGTAATCAGACGAATCAGGGAAATGAAACA